TTTTTTTACATTTTCGTACACAATGGGTCTTCCCCTAGATATCTTGCGAAATTTCAATCTATTACGAACGTTAGAACTCACGGTTTTTGGACCTTTATTTTCGAGAATTTACGGCCGCCATTAATTTTCCCTGTTCCAAGTCTTGGTTGAGAACTGGAGTAAATGACGTCATTTTCTCAAAAATACCGCACGGATTGAAATTATAATAATAATTAGTGTAGAAAATTGCACGAATATAAGAGCCAAAGGTTTTGTGTTTCGTTATGCGAATTACTTTTGGCGAGTTACACAACACGGAAAGTTTGTTTTCCGGACAACCAATTATGGTCACAACGAATTTGCTGAGCTACATATCGGAAAATTTATTTCCTGACCACAGATATGAGCATCATCATGGCCATTTGCCGAGCTACACGGAAAATTTGTTTTCTTACCACAACTCATGACCATTTGTCGTCGCCGAGCAACAAAACATTCTTTCCTGAAAACGCGGGCTTTAGTTACTTGTTGTCGATGGCTAGCGAGTCAAAATACATCTAGCTTGGTAGAAATCATATACACGTCGAATCTATACGACGAATACGTGTTTTACGAAAACTGCAGAAATTCCCGCGCGCTCATTGGCTAATTTTCATTGTCAATATGCGGACAGGCACATGAATTTATAATTTATGCGATGCGTCAACGGGCGAGAGCGAACAATAGGCTATTTTACAGTTGTGTGCTTAGTTACCTGGCCTGTGACTGCAAGCGAGGTTGAAGGTGACCTTGCTTTGATACAGACCTCTCTGCTTTTCTCATGTAAATGCCAACTAGTTAGCATAAGAACAACTTGATTTACACAACAAAAACAGTCAGGTCTTTATCAAAACAAGATCACCTCCAGCCTCGCTGCCATTCAAAGGCCAGGTCACTGAACAGACAACAACCTCGTTCTCAGGGTCTTTAGCCAGGGTAAAGACTCTGGGAACGAGGTTGAACAGACAACTCAATTTGTTAAACTGCGTGCATGCGCTTATGATGTAATTTGCCCCTGCTGTGGGGGGGCCAAATCGGCGAACAAATCCGTAACTAAAATTCTCGATCCAAACTGGATTAGGATTGCGTAACACTGCGTGAACGAACGTACCACATCTTCTGCCTTTTCCCTGTGCTATCAAACCACAAAAAAGGCACAAAAATGTCTTGACAAGGAGGTCTTGATCAGTAAAACGCAGGCC